TTAGCAGCATTCATTGCCTTAGTAACTTACACTCCACAGCTAACCTGCTCTGGGGCAGGTTATGTTCTGGTTTAGAGATCTCAAACCCAAATTTGACCAATCAGCTTCAAGCAAAGTGACGCATCTCTGACGCAATAAAGCCACTCCCCCAGTTTCTCTTACTCCAAAGTAAAGGACACTACATAGTACAACATTTTTAAAGATAATATTGTCTGATTTTTAGAGATGATTATTTTTTATAATTATTTTATATTATTTATATAATTATTATACCCTTAATCCATTACACAAGCTAGCTTAGTTTATTTTTAAATTAATATAAACATATCTATAATATGCAATATAAATACGTTTTAGAATCAATAGCTTTAAACATGACTACATATGAGCTTCGATTTTTAAGTGTTTTTATACCTATAAATATTATCAACTCTATAAACTAACTTTTACTTGCACTTATGTGTTTTCTTTAAGTTTTCCTTTTTCATGGATAGATCGTTTCATCTTGTAAATGTGTTTAAATTCTTCATATTGTTGAATATTTTAATCTTTGGTAGTGAATCGCACTGACTCTCTCGCGAGAAGTGAATCACAGTTTCAAGGCATGTGATTGGCTGTTCATTACTGATGTCACTCTTTCATGTGCACGTGCTTCATTAACTCAGGATCAAGCCTGAGTTGACAGAGAAAGTTGATGATCAGCTTCATGGTACCAACAAAGCCGGATTGGACTGGTTTGGTTTTGTCAACTCAAAACTAATCCTGTAACCCCGAGTTTGTTCAGCCACCATCATGGTACAGGCCCCAGGGCAGAAATGGAGGCACATAAACATTTCATCTCGCCCTGACCAAACTACAAACAGCACTCAGAATATTATTTGTGTCAGTGCAATCAGTGTGACGGCCAGTCACCAAGGAAACGGACAACAATTCTCAGAGGCATAAACTGCGAGAAGTGCTGTTTTGCGTCACCCGGCGGTTCGCATGCAACAACAGCCCGTCATTTGTCTTACAGACACGCGCACACACATTTCCTTTCTGAAACAGTGGCGATAATGCTGTTTACATCATCTCTCACCGAACGGACAGGGACAATCACAATTATCTGGATATATCTGATGCGCTTGCAAGCGTGTGCGGTGGCAGCCCTATGTGTTTGCGTGTTATAAATAGCCTTGTTGTAGCTGGGAGGAAGGGAGTGTGAGCGACTGAACGTGTGCCATAACAATGCTATGATGTCTTCCTGTGGCTGTGGAGACCTGCACCCCTGGCCCCACCCCCCACCTGCTTTAGCTGGGTAATGAAATATGTCTGCTGTGATGTATGGCTGCTGGATAGCTCCAAATCGAAAATTGAATCACACTAACTTAATTTGCGGTTGGGGCAATCAAATTACTTGTTTTGGCCAGAGTATTTCAGCCCGTGTTGGCAATGAATTCATCTTGGTGAGAGGCCTGTCAGAGAAAGGCATGTTTGTACCACCTCTAGCTGTAGAGAAAGCTGTGTGGTCCAGAGGGCAGGAGGATGCTGGCGGCCACCGTGCCGAGGGTATTATCATCCGACAAACAGCAGCGGAGAACATCCTGAGGCAGGCTATCCAAGATCTCCCAGGAACAATAATAAAAATAATAAAAAGTTACAGATAGGCTACTGCACTTCCATATGTCGCATTTTAATGTTTCAGTGAACCAAAAAGTTTTTGGACACTTAAATATGTTAATGTCAGAAAATAAAAAAACAAATAGGAATAATATTCTTATAGTCATCAAATAAAAAAACCTCACACAAAACAAGAACAACCCCAAAACCAACTCAAAACAAACAAACCAATACAATCCAAAAAAATAAAAAATAAAAATAAAAAATCAACCCAAGCCAACACAAACACATCAATCCAATCCAAAAATAAAAGGCAAAAACAATTCAAAACAATCCAAAATAAAATCAACCCAACGCAAAACCAAATCTAAATCCAATCTAAAACATAAACAAAACAAAATACATTTCCAAACAAAACAATTCAAAACAAAACCAAACCAATCCAAAACAAAATCCAATCCTAACAAAACAAAAAGCAAAACACCTCAAACGTAAATCAATCAATCAGCAAAACATTGGTTGATTAAGTCAGAATTTCCAACTTCCTATTGGAAAAGTGCAATAGAATGGCATTTGAAGTCAGATTTCCAATGCATTCGATTTAATTTCGTCATGTTTCAGATGTATGACATCACATGAACATGGCAGCACCCAGCGAGATATGCACAACTAATGTTAAACACTCACTTTAGAGCAAATTAAATGCAACAATGAGCCGAAAAATTCCAACATAATAAAACTTGTTTGCAGAGGCAGGTGTGCAAAATCTAGTAAATGAGCATTTCTGATAATTATAATGATTTCTTGATTATTTTATCCCTGCAAAACAAATGCTAGCATTGCCTTGCCTCATTTATCCTCAATTTAGTTGCTAGGAGACTTCTTTGTCGACAGTCAAAGCCTGCAAAGCATTGCCATTTGTGGAACACCTGTATGGTTTTAAGTCAGAGATATCCTGCAGGATTTTTTTGCCACAAAATTAACAAAATGTTTTTGTTCACAAAAAAGCAAGAGATCAAACTTCTAAAAACCTTTGAAAAAAGTTTCGGTTTCAAAGTTTAGTCTTTAGAGTTTAAAACAGAGATATCACCAGCACAAACTTTCCAAACCGGCCTCCAAAGAGCGTTTGAAGAATGCTTGTGCCCGCTGAAAAACTGTCTTCAGAGCGCAGATGGTGGAGAGTGAGATGGCCACTTGTTTGCATTCCCCGTCAACGCCTGCGCCGCTCGGAGAAAGAAAATCAATCAGTGTGACAGACTCATCCACCTCTCAAACACTCCAGCACACTCTCAGCTGTCACATCATTTATTCAACACAACTGACAGGGCTGGCCACACACACACATATTTACACACCTGATACAGCACTCGCTCCATTCGGTCTCTTCTCTGGAGTTTCATCCTTTTAGTGCCTCTCTCTTCAAACCATTTATCAGTACTATATGCGTTTTTGAAGAAGAAAAAGGTAATATTCGTTTGAAACTCGAGCAAGCCTGAAAGGAACACAAAAAAACAGAAATGTGCCTCGACAATGAAGCTGCTAAATGAACACACACACACACAGTTGTCAAAACACAAATTTAAACCCAAAGACGCATTCTCTCTATGTTCAATAGCCTGTTTAAATATGTATTCAGGCTACTCTGTTGCCTCGCTCATGTTTTATTTAGAGATTCAGGCCATGTGGGGGTTTGGAAGGAAACCCTCCCATTTAGGATTAAGTTTAAAGCTGTTAACCCATCTTCATCCCTTCATCATGACTTCAAGCTCAGAGCTGCCGCATTCATAACCTCACAACACATTCATAAAGTCAGTTTGGCACCTGTCATAGACCATCAAAAAGATAAGCATTAGCATGAGATGATCAGATAACAGTTCTGTAATAATATTCACTTTTACAGTGAATGAATGGCAATATATGGCAGTGTGTTAAAAACATTTACCCACGATGCTGCAAACCAGTCTTTCTTACTATGCAGTTTTTGGGGAAGTTAATTTAGAAACTTTTCCACTAATTTAGCCCAGTGTCTTTATTAACTAAAACTATTAAAAATGTTTTTGTTAATTGAAACAAAGCTTGGCAACAAACTGAAATACAAAAAGCTAAAGTACTAAATATAATAAAACTGAAAAGAAAAAAACTAAGGTAAATAGAAATATGAATTAAAAAACAAATAAAATTACAAATAACTTTACTAAAATATGCTCTAAAAAACTTACTCTAAAATTTAAAATTAGAACTGAAAATATAAAAATAAAATCTAATTAAAAAATAATAAATAATATAATAGTATATAGTACTAAAATAATACTTTTTAAATAATATTAATAATTTTTAATAATAATAATAATTTTCATTTTCCAGATGCATTTACAAAAGGATGGTTTTTAGATTAGTTATTCTTTTAAAAGCATAGCTATGCTAAACGTTACTACATTTTTAACTGGCTCATTTAAATGAATGAATTGATTCACTAGAATGCTAAAATGTTTGCTCATTGCAGTTGGCTGTAAAGCTAGTACAATACAACATAATTTGTAATGAACATAATTAACAAATATTATATATATAGTCGATGTAAGAGGAAACTGAAAGGGATGTCCAGGTACTCACCCGGACTGTATCCATAAAGCATAACACCACAGCTGCCCAACTCACTGCAGCATTAAACGTGCATCTCGACTCTCCTGTTTCCATCAAAACTGTTCGTCGGGAGCTCCACAGGGTTAATATACATGGCCGGCCTGCTATTGCCAAACATCGGTTTCAATGGTGCCAGCAGCACAAATCTTGGGCATTGTTCTTTGATGAGTCCACCTTCACTGTCTTTCCCATATCCGGGAGAGTTAAGGTGTGGAGAAGCCCTAAAAAGACTTACCACCCAGACTGCTGCGTGCCCAGAGTGCAACACGAAGGTGGATCAGTGATGGTTTGGGCTGCAATATCAAAGCATTTCCTACTGTGCTAGATGGACGCATCCCTGCCAAGAACTACTGAACAATCATGGAGGACCTCTGACCACTCTACTGCTCTACTGACCACAAAAGGAGGCCCTACACCATCTTAATAAATTATTGTGGTCTAAAACCATGTGTTTCAGTTTCATTTTCCAACCCTTGTACATACACTTATGTAGTTAAGGTAGTTACCCAAAACATTCTTCTGAAGCCACATTACAGCTTTGTGTGAGGAACAAACCAAAACTTAAAATCCCTTTCCTATATCATAGCCCTCAAATCTCAATACCCAAAAACAATGATATTTCACTAACGTTAAACTTGGTGCAATATGTCTCCATGTACATGCTAATGCAAACGATGCCAAGCTTCTCATCTTCATTCCATCTTGGTCTGCTACCATGTTTGGCCAACATTCACCATTTTTTTTTTTTATTGCTCAGAAGTTATTATGTGCAAACTATCACATCTTTGAAGGTGTGCACAACATATGCTGATTATAAACTCTGAGAATCGTGTAGGAGGTATAGGCGTGAAATATCTCAATCCATCTGTGGGAACAAAGAAGAAAAAAAAAACTTCTACACTTCATGAACAATCCTGGATCCACAAGAAACTGAAAGTTGTCAGTTGTAGAGTGTATATTTATAAGATACACGAACAGCCTCTAACCTCTCGCATGTCCTGACATGTCACTGAGCTCATGAATATGAAGCTGCGTTTGTGATATTTATTCAAGCCTAATGTGCGGCTGATGTTTGTTGCGTGAGTTGTGCATTACATAACACCCTCCAAACGGCACAGCCTCAGAGACTTCTGGAGATATGAGATCTGCGGAGTTAAAGGGGCAAACATTGTTTTATTTTGATTCATAACACTTCTAATCAACACTTACACAAGTCTCAAAGGTGACTGGTGCATTAAATAGGTGGGTGGAGCTATTCAGATCAATATGGAAGGTCATATACATTACTTGTGTAACCAGACTTTTGACCTTACATTCACTGATTTTTTAATATTTTTAAAACAAGTCTCTTATACTCACCAAGGCTGCACTTATTTTATAAAAAATACAATAATAAGAGAAATATTATTACCATTTGAGAAAATTGTTAATACATTACAAAATGTAATTTATTCCTGTGATGGCAAAGCTGAATTTTCAGCTGCCATTATTCTAGTCTTCAAATTATCCTTCAGAAATCATCATAATAATGACTTGGTGTGCAAGAAAGATTTCTTATAATAAATGTTGAAAACAGTTGCTTATTCTTTATTTTTTCGGAAACCGTAATGCATTTTTCAGGATTATTTGATGAATAGAAAGTTCAAAAGAACAGCATTTTTTTAAAATACAAATTATTTCTTAACAAATATTGGCCATGGACCGTCTGATGCAAATTGAGTGCAACAATGGCAAGAGCTGACTGAAATAGCCAGTTTCAAGGTATCAGGTTGATACACAACACATTCGACCAAGATCTAATGACTGTAACTGGCAGTTTGAAATGCTCAGTTACAAAAAAAGTAAACTCAATATGTATGACTAGATTTTGCAAATACTGCTGAGTAACTTCTGAGTAATGATATGTACTTATTGTTATTAGATGATCAACAGAAAAGTAAAGGGGCGGGGGAGGGGTGGGCTGGTATGTAATGACAATCTATTAAAGGTGGGGTAAGTGATTTCTGGTAGCCAATGTTGACATTTGAAATCACCAAAACAAACACGCCCCTACCCCAAAAGGGTCTCGTCCCTATTTTGATAGCTCCGCCCCACACATACGTATGCAACCCAGGCAACGATTAGTTCTGTGAAACACAGCAAAACCAATGTTACACCGTGTCTACACCGGACCGGACGAATACATATCTATGGTCTACACTGGATGCGGCACGACACGACAAATCCCAGACAGAAATCTGCTGCTCTGTTCTATTTATGACGTATTGACACAAATTTCAAATGATTTTCAACGGTCGCTTTGTCGCATCCAGTGTACTAGACAGACTTTAGCTGTTGCGGCGCAGACACGGTGTTACTCACCAATCGAGAAGAAACAAAGCAACCTCAGCATCTGATCGCAGGCCTTCCGCTCCTTGAGTTCTCTCCAGCACTGGAAAGCTGATCCGATATTTACACGGGTCTTACTTCTTGCCTTAAGCCTTCTTTTGTTTTTTATACGCCATCTCTATCTTTCTGTCGCTTGGCTGAGTAGTTGTTTTGCTACTCGGCCCGAATCAGTTTTCTAAACCGTTTTTGAAAAATCGCTTACCCCACCTTTAATCAAAGATCTCATTTTACTTCTAGATCAACAAGTGACGCTTTAATGTGCTCTTAACGTTTTTAATGTTCCGTGTGCTTTAATACCAAATTTACTACATACCATATGTCCCAGTTATAATAATAATATAATACTAATAATAATTCTAAATAGGGATGCACCGAAATTTCAAACGGCAAAAATTATCGGCCAAAAATGGCATTTTCAGTTTTCGGCCGAAAGAGAAAAACATCTGAAAATATATGGCACGCCATATATTTTAAAATAATTATTTCAAAGCATTTTCCGTTTTGGTTTTTGGCCAAGTGCATCCAGAATTTTCATTTCGGTGCATCCCTAATTCTAAATGACTGTTTTTAATGTATTTTTGATCAAATAAATGCAGCCTTTGAACTTCTTTTAAAAACATTTTAAAAATCGTACTTATTCCAAACTTTTGATCGGTAGTGTATGTATCGCAATGAATATTGTCGTATTTGCACATTGTCATACCCAGCCTAACCAATTCCTGAAAGTAAGCAGATCTCAACCAATCAGATTGTAACTGCAGATTTCAGCCAGCTCTTTCATTCTCATGCGAAACCAGCTCTCTGCCCATAAACCTCCTTTATGTTCACGAGCGCGAGCGAGAACACGGTCACATGGAACACAACGACTCTGACTTCTTGACCTTCTGTTCAGGCTGTGTAAAGAACAGAGGACGTTGTTCTGTTAATGGCGCAGCGTCTTAATGTTCTGTTCCCTCAGACATGTTCAGTGACTACTCAAAGGCAACAATCAAACCATTATCCTTCCATCTGCAGATAAGAGACAAACAGAGTGAGACACACAGGTAGAGAGGGAGAGAGAGAGCGTGGGTTGAGCTGTCAGTCACTGATTAGCTGCTGGATGGGAACCGGGAGGAAATAAGGATAGAGAGACAGAGTGAGAGAAAGAAGCATCGATGACCTTATAGTGGCAGCTTTTACTCTTTCACAGCTCACTCCTATCCATTATTGAATTCCTGAATCAGCTTCCCTGAATAATGGCACTCCGGCTGAAAGGATCTAGAAGTAGGTTCACTTCCTCTGTCTCTCACTCTGAACACGGTCACATGGAACACAACGACTCTGACTTCTTGACCTTCTGTTCAGGCTGTGTAAAGAACAGAGGACGTTGTTCTGTTAATGGCGCAGCGTCTTAATGTTCTGTTCCCTCAGACATGTTCAGTGACTACTCAAAGGCAACAATCAAACCATTATCCTTCCATCTGCAGATAAGAGACAAACAGAGTGAGACACACAGGTAGAGAGGGAGAGAGAGAGCGTGGGTTGAGCTGTCAGTCACTGATTAGCTGCTGGATGGGAACCGGGAGGAAATAAGGATAGAGAGACAGAGTGAGAGAAAGAAGCATCGATGACCTTATAGTGGCAGCTTTTACTCTTTCACAGCTCAACTCCATCCATTATTGAATTCCTGAATCAGCTTCCCTGAATAATGGCACTCCGGTTGAAAGGATCTAGAAGTATGTTCTCTTCCTCGGTCTCTCACGCTCTCTTTCTTATCCCCCCCGGCGTGCTTCGCTTCCATCGCTTTCAGCACGCCGGAGACTGAAAATGCCACGAGTGCCTCTGGCTATTCCTAATCACAGAAAATCACTCACCTCTGTCTTTGTCACAGTGACCCGAGCGCTGTCACGGGCTTTGGGTGGCAGCTCTTCCATGAGCCGCTGTGATCAATATTTCAGCCGCAGACCGAGTCCTTCTGCATGGGAGAACCATTCCTGCCTCCTGATGGATGGGAGCTCTGGGGACCGTGGAGCGCGGGGGACACAGAAGAGGTAATATTTAGACAGATCACAATGGTCCACCTGCAAATAGGGTTGTGGATGAGAGCAAACAAAGCGGAAAGACAGAGAGATGGAGAGTGACAGGAAGTAGAAAGTTGGCTTGGGGGGAAAGTGGGGCTGGAATCGAAAATGAAGCAGCTGTGTTATATTGATAATATGGTCACATATAAACGATCCACAACAGAGTGCCTTATCGTTATTATAAAACAGAATAAATTATGACAGACTGAAGTAAAGACATACTGAAAATATTAAAAGGACATTTAAATTGAAAAACTTTTTTTGAATGTTAATTAGATTGACACTATAGACACGCTCCGTGTCACTAGTTAAAATTGCTTATTTCTCTGGATTTAAACATTCTTCGAAACATTTGGGATAATGTAAGTACACAAGTCAGCAAAATATATAACACTGTTCTAGTGGTTTTTGGATATTTTAATAAAAAAATCTTACATATTGTAAGATTTATACTTTAAGTAGCTGTGTCACAGGGTAATGTAAAGTCAGATGGTCATTATCACAAAATAGACCTTAGATGAAAACAAGTTGTAAGGGTTTATTGGCTAAAACAACTGGCAAACAAATGAATAAATAAATAGTCCTTATAATATGAAAAACAACTGGCCTAGCAACAATAAAATTAAAATATTAATTCGATATTTATTAGATTAATTTGATTTTTTAAAACTATTTTTATTAGTTGTTTTCTGCTGTATCTGGCTCTTTGTGTCGGTTATCAGTTTCTTGTTCTTTGTGATGTGAGGGACATGAAAGTATCAATGCTATGTATGACTTTAAATTTTCAGAACTTTATTTTAAGGTGCTTTTATTTATTTTTTTATGTTATAATACTTTCTACGACCCCAGCACACTATAAAGAGAAAAATAATAAAATCATTCCAAATTAAATACATTTCAGGATTTAAAAAAAAATATTTACTTTGTATTCATGTAATAGAATAGGTCATAAGTCAGTTGGTTAATATCACACACACACACACACACACACACACACACAAAAGCCCATCAGGGTGATCAAGTATCATCCTAAAGGAGTTTATTTTGCAAAAATACTCTACATTATCCTGTCCTGCATACCAAATAAATAAAATCAAAATATAAATTGCTTGATATATACGTCTTAAAAGAATAGTTCATTACTCCACAGAGGAAAAACTGGCCTAGCAACAATAAAAATACAATATTAATTTAGACCGTATTATTAATCTGAAAAAGAAAAAGTTTTCGCTCTCATTTAAATAGGTCGACTCCTTCCAAAATCTTACGTTGCTGTAAATAGCAGTGAGGATAATAACCCACATTACTTACTGGGAAAAAAAAAACATTTGTTGTGGTTATTAATAACAAATGCAATTATTTATGGAGCATTTGTGGTGTTGTTGTTTTTTCTTGCATTCATTCTACCATTTTATAAAAGCAATAAGCCATTCAAGGCTGGGCACAAAGTGTTTTTACCACGACTAAAGGGGTTAATGCCTAAAAATCACCACCTCAACTGTAGCTTGTTGCGTTATTCAGTGACTGTGCGCGTGCTGTTACCTTCAGTACTCTCCAACACAAAGCCCCCTAAAGCAGAAAGCTGCTGACATGTAAAGGCCAAACATTTCACATAATTCAAAATGACTCATTAGAAAATCTTCCTTCGTCATTTCTCATGAGGACAGCGTACCGCAGAGGCCCAAAACACTTTCCCTGTCAGTCCTTCAGCGGACTCTCTGTCAGTTCACTCTCTCCACGGACTTACATGTCACCCAATATCGGAGTGCCTGTGAAATCACCTTTTGTCCTTCGGTTTCTTTCCCTCGTATGTGTCCTAATCTTTGACAGGACAGCTAAAAATAAGCACCGAACTGCACAATTAGCCATTATGGCGTCCCATAATCCCCCCCGAAATTCGCAGCATCCAGGAGTGCTCATCAACACCTTGGACGTAGCGGTCAAATTGAATAATAAATGTTTAATGCCGGTTCGGTCGCAGTCAGTCAACAGTCAAACAGTCTGTGGGCAGGGAGACGACGAGGTCATTACCCCTGCCATTTGCTTAACAAGCGCTAATTACAGCTGACATTTCCACAGGGCGCTTCCGAGCGTCAGCTGCCTGGACTCATCAAGAGGACACGGTCATTCTTCACACACACACACACACACACACACACACACACACACAATAATGAAATTAAAACAGAGTACCAACAGTTTAATAGAATCCAAAAATCAAATATACAGCAGGAAACTCCCACGTTTCCTCTTTTTCTTTAAGGCTAAAAGCAGTGTGGACTACAAAAGCACTGATTAAGCAAGAAGAACCCAATGACTCGAGGAGTTTGGCATTTTACACAGAGAGGAAAACACAAATAAAAGAGCTCTGGCGTTAGGACGCACTATGAAGCTGCTACAGAGACTCATTTGCATTGCAAACTGTGCACACAATCATGACGCTATGAGCCGCATAAACCACAGCACTGCTCTTTCATATCAACATTATCAAAAAATTACTCTCTCCACAAGTAGAATGACTAATACAGGGAGAAGCACCATTTCTGTTTGCAGACCCAAGGCAAATATTTGACGCTAAAATTCTAGAGTACATTTTGAATAAATCAAAAAAAGAACGAAAGCATATCTTTCAAACACAGGCCCGATGGATGAAATGGATAAATGAAAGGAGGAATAATGCCAAAAATGGAGAGAAGGAAAAAAAGCAGGAAATCCCAGGACAAGTCACTGGAAGGAGACAAATAACTTAAGACGTAGAGGACATGTCTATAAATAGACATATGGTGGCCGTACCGGCAGGGCGCTCACTTTTTCTTTTCTTTCTTTAAAAAAAAAAGCTATGGAAACAAAGAAAAACCATCAAGTATACCAAACACAGCTGACGCGTTCAAAATTAAAAGGGCAGAAAAAAGTAAAAAAAACAACAACATGAATTCACAAGTAAGATTCACAATATGTTAATACTCATTGTTTGTACCATATGCAGATCAAAAACCTGTGGTTTAATGTGTATTTGCATAAACAAGGTATGAATGCACATGTAGGCAATAGATGTAATACAATCAGACGTGTTTGAGAAATCCAGACTTTCTAAAACGTTCATGATGAAAGATGTCCAGAAGAGTGCAAGTCAACATGAAATGGCATGTGCACCCAGTTTAAGTGGAACAGAGCATTCACAAACAAAACGCAGGGTTGTACTTTAATATTTTATCCATCAAGAATTGGATGATGGAAAGTGAGTGTTGCATACTGTAGGGAGAATGAATGGATTGTAAAGGACTGTGCTCCTGAAACACCATCGGATCCGACACTGCTGCAGAATCTCACCCTCCTTCCTCAAAGCCATTCTAATGGCTGAGACAGATTTATGGGTGCTCTAATAAAAACGATAGAAATGTGCTTTTAAGGTACTGTACACTACCTTTCAAAAACATTTTTTTGAAGGAAATTAATACTTTTATGCAGCAAGGATGCATTACATTGATCAAAAGTGACAGTAAAGTCTTTATGATGTTATAAAAAAAAAATCTATATCAAATAAATGCTGTTGATTTTGTACTTTCTTTTCATCACACAATCCTGAATACATGTATCATGGTTTCCACACACACACACACACACACACAAAAAAGTTTTCAATGTTGAAAATGATAACTTTTTCTCGAGCAGCAAATCAGCATATTAGAATGATTTCTGAAGGATCATGTGACACTGAAGCCTGGAGTAATGATGCTGCACATTTGGCTTGGCATCACAGGAATAAAATACAGTTTAAAATATATTCAAATAGAAAACAGTTATTTTAAAATGTAATAATATTTCACAATATTACTGCATTTTTTGAGCAAATAAATGCAGCCTTGGTGAGCATTAGAGACTTAATTTAATGACAATGAAAAATCCTAGAGCACAAACTTTTGAACGGTAGTGTATTTATTCTTAATCATGAAAAAAATGATATATCATTGTATTATAAAAATGTTTCAACTAAATATTTCCCTTTCAATTAGCTTTCGGTAAGCAATCTAACAGCTTGGCATTGCATTAACTGATTAAGAAAAGCTAGCGCAAGAGATAATGTGTTACACTTTTGATCAGACATTGAGAAAGGGGGACAAGTCTGAACAAAACCCATATCTTGAGAGCCGGACATTGAGGCTGATGGTCAAGTTCACGCTCAAGAGCATCTTCCTGGTTAACATTATTCAATAGCCTATAAGTGACAGCAGGAGAAAAGAAAAGTTCGTCCAGAGGCAGAAGATTAGTGTGTGAACTGATGAACCACACACAATAAGACCAGCAATAAGTATTAATAAAGTAAATGATGTCCATTTTGATTTCATGTTGACTTGAACAAGATTCATTAATACAATCAATTCAGACATTTACGACATTCAAAAGACTAAAACAGGGAGTTAATCTGTAAATCCACTCAACGCGTCTCATGAATAATCACTGCTCTATCTCCTCACCAGCGTCAGCAATCTCAACCCTCGACAATAAGTCACCTCTTCATTAGCACACTTTTAAAGCGTGACGAGCAAACTAATTATCTCTGGAGTGAATATGAGCTCAGTAATGTATGCAAAGACATTAAGACATACACTGAAAGAAAAAAATACATTCCAGTTCACCTCAAAATAAGAGTGCAGCACCGCAAATGCCTCATCAAAAATAGATTGTAACAGTGAGACCGTATGGCGCAGGTGGTTTCAAATGTCACTGACGAAAGAATAAAGACAGCGAGCTGACAAAATGTACATTATTCAAGCGTTTAACATCAGCAAACTCCACAGCCCCGAGCTTGAAGTTCAACGGCATCACGTTTAACTGATTCTGACACCTCCATCTAATCAATAGACTCCACTTGCTTCAATAATTAAAGCAGAAAGACACTTATTTAATTCATTATTCAGATTATCCATGCAGGATTTTGGTCCAAGTTATACGAGATGATTAGAGATTTTAATGAAAACATTTGCTTTTGATAAATCGGAGTCATTCATTTCACATTACACTCCGATTTATAAAGATCACACATCTAGTTTGGAAAGATTTAGAAGGTGAACAATTAATCACCAATCAAAATGTATCAGCCTGCAGTTAATAAATATACCGAAAGGTGAAACGAGGGTTCAAAGGGAAAAAGGAGATAATCAGATCATCTACATCTAATTAGCATAGACATCTGCATAATTCAGTTGCCCTGGGAGATTGAATGCACATGCGAATGGTAGATTCGGAGCGTGTCTGTCAGGTATCGCCCCCACCCACGCTTCAGTACCACACAGTGAAAACCAAAACCCTTCAGTCTGCTTCTAAGTCAGTAGTTTCCTTTCAACACGACTCCAGTCCTGTGGTCTCACAGGCTGACCTCATATCACACTGATTCATTCTTTATAAAGCCATATTAATATTTCACCGCAGTTTGATTCAGCCATCTTTGCTGAAATGTTACCTCAGTAGTAGTCGAATGCTAATACTAAAGCTCTGAAAGTTCTCATTTTCTAAGAAATAATTGTGCAAGGGCTTCATATGCATACAAAGCCACTGTTTCAGGATTGTTAAAATTCAGTCTTACAATTCTAAAAAAAACCCCATAAAAACCCCAAAACAAAACCCAAACACATCGCTCAGGCGGTTGCATATTGATTCTTCGAATCCGTAATGCTCAGCCGCACCCCTTGAGAAATGACCCTTTACAACTGCCATAGTTTCATGTATTGCAGAGCTTCAATAACACAGAGTGATTACGGACGGGAATCGACCCGTGTACCTGTGTGCGGTACAATCAATGTGGCAATGAGCAAAGGGGTCGAGGAGATCACATTATGGTCTAATAACACAAAACACGAGAACATCGGCGAGGGTGGACAAAAAAATGAAGATCTGCCAAGAAATAAAAACGAGGGGTGGAGGAGGTAACAAATAGAGGAAGATGCGGGGAAGCATAGGATGCCACGTCCTTCTGTTTTTAGTTTGATACGTTTACATAAGCGCTTTTTGTTCCTCAGCTCTTGGCATCTCACTGTCAGTTATCTTCTGAAGTCATCAGCAGGCAAATTGAACTGTCAGCCATCAAGGTCTCTGGGAGTTTTTTTTCCAAAATATTCGTTTTGTCCGTGGTTGTTTACGTCGTCTCGTTCTTGATCGTGAATTGTAACAGACGATGACACAAATTTGACGTCATTGGAGAAAATTGGTGAGCTCTATCTTCGCTGTGTCGGATTAAACCGAGCAAAGAAGCGGCGTTTGGACTGATCCCGTTGTTAGGTCAGATTATCGTCTGGGTTTTGCAGGGTCACGCTGTGGTCAGCTTACGGGTTCTCATCTCTTGTAGTGGCTTGGAGCATCAGCGAACATGTATTTGAGTCTGTAGGCCTCTGCCAGTAGCAAACCCACCTCTTCGTTGCCCCAGTGTATTGTGGGAAGGTTCTGTAGGAGCATTAGCAGGCTCTGAAATGACATAAAAACACATTTCATAAAACTGGATCATTTAGTAGCTTTCATAGAGCTCTGCCAATCTGCTGTTAGCAGCTTTCCACCACAAAAATACTGTTTCCTGGCTATTATCTATTCCTTAAAATGCATGTTTACTCTTCTGAACTGGAAATGCTTGTAGTCACGGCATGATTATAATGTTAGGATAATGTGATTCATGATTGGCGCTGCTCTTAGGTCACTGCTTGTGCATTTAGCATGTGTATGCGCACGAGTGTGTGTGGGCTTTCCGCCACCCACAGCTGCTATAAGTGCACAAGAGCAGATCTATCGTAATCAGCTTCACTCTGTATAAGATCAGATCTCAGGTTCTTCGGTCTGGGAGTTTTAGCGCAGTAGCATGAAGCTGAAAATCATTGATTTTCAAGTTGCTAACCAGAGCGCCTTTGAGCTTTGGGTTAAAAATTGGTGCTCATCACAACAGCCTATATATATATATATATATATATAGATAGACTGAACAGCTTGGCATTACATCACATGTGTGTGCATGAATATAAACTGACTAAACAGACTAACAAATGTTTAACGCTGTTACATTTACTGAAAACCATTATGGCATTAACTTAATTCTACATGACAATGGTTTGTGTGATTTATAAGCACCGTCTGAATTGTCAAAAGCACAGGTGTCTTTGTTCAATTCTCAGGAACAATAATCCTGTAAACAGAAGCTAATTTATCAGTAAATAATGGAGAAACACATCAATAGTGGCTAATTTATTTATAAATCAAATCCAGATGGGACATTTGCAGTCTTTGTATGCTGAAAATGAATTACTATCAAAGCTCAACAAGTCTGAATTATCACCTACAAATGAAACTCACTGTCAACTTGCTATTTTATGTGCGGTTAAAACACCAGAAGACTGTAGCAACATCTACAAAACAGCTTTGATATTTGGTGAGAAAAGTATTATATATTGGGGTCTAAAAAACAGACTACATTAAATTCGGGATGCAAAATCTAATTTAAATCGGATGAAAAAAAAAAAAAAATCCTAAAAAGTGTTTGAATCTGAAAATTCAAAACCAGTATGTCATTAAAATGTGATAATTACAATATAAAATATTTAATAAAATATTATTTAAACAAAATATTAAAATATTATCTTAATATAATATCTTGAAATATTCTTAGTAATAATTATTATTAAGAATATTTTAATATTAATATGATTCATATTTAATCAAATATTATGAATTGTTTTTATTTACATATAATTACTAATATTAAAAATCTAATAAGAACATCTGTGATAGTGATCATGTGAAAATTCTTAACATATAAGACATAATAAGAAAATTTGTCTTAAAAATATGTTGTTATTATTGTCGTTTTCAGAAAAAAGCTCATTTCTGAAAGTGATCATGTGAACATGAGAACCACAGATGATTAAATGCGATAATGTTAATCCATTGACAACCCAAGTATAAATACATGCTCAAATGACTGTTCATCAAATTCTTCTTTACCCGACCTGACAATGAGCCAAATAATAAACGAGAGAATGAAAGATGGAGCTGAGGCGTGGAGATCCTTCGAAAGAGAGCGTGAAAGAGCGAGAATGGGGGGTGAATAACAGAGCGTTCTCGTTTCGCGGGCGCTGAGGTGTGGTGAATCCGCAGGCCTGTGAAATTTGGTTACAGCCGATGCTGCTCCACTGGAGGGCCAATTATTTTGATAGTCTCGGGGTAAGTGACGGCCGGGACGCTTTCCAGTGATGCATGCATGTGTGGGGACGGTCACATGTAAACGACACACGCTTCTTCACGGAGCTCAGCGGCCGTGACACACGTGACATGCGGGAGATTGTCGGTACCTGAAAGTCCAACATGGAGAGGATCTCTTTGCGCCATTTGATGAGGAAGGCTGCGCACACGTAGAGGTGGAAATGGGAAAATCCCTCTGACTCGGCCTGAAGATCAAGAGCAGACACAGAGAAGAACACACA